CAGTACTTATGCTACCTGCAGTTTGCGAATGACATTCTCATCCTCTCAAAGTCGTCAGAAGAATCCAAAGAAATGTCCAAGAGCTGAACGACACCGGCATGAATGTGGGACCGAAAATGAATTTGAAGAAGACTCAGACGAAGTTCCACAAACACATGACCGCTTAACCTGTTGAAGTCAGTTGGCTTAAACTTGAAGAAGTGCTAAACTACGGCTATCTGGGTCAGCTGATGTGTACATCAGGGAACCGACTATGTGAAATCAGCAGAAGAATAAAAATGGCATGAAGCACCTTTCTAAGATTAGAAATGTTCTTATCCGGGAAATTACTGATATTTTGCTTGAAACAGAAGGTTTTCGAACACAGTGTGCTCCCAGTGCTAATCTATGCGTGCGAAAAGTCGACCCTAAGCTTGAAGCCTGTTTATAAGCTCTGGATTGCGCCACTTAGCATAAGATTATACTTTTTGGGAATAGCAAGAAAACTTAGGAAGACAAATGAATGGATGCGAGCACCATTAGTCTGCTACGTCATTTCTCAAGTGAAGCAGATAATGTGGCAGTGGACGGGACACGTTGCAAGACCATTGACCCTCGCTCACCAGGAAGATATTAGACTGACTTCCAAGACAGAGTGAGCGGCCCGTGGTAGAACCTCCAGATTGATGGCAGAATGAACTGAAAAATACAGTTTGCTGAATCAAGAAGGACGAAAATGACCAACAGCAGAAGTTCAAGGCACAGTTTTCGCGATGCGTTCATTCAGCAGCGGACGGACAGAGGCTGATTATGACCATTGTAACTAAATACAGCTAATGTAGTAATAAATGTAACTGTTACTTATTGTAGTATTATTATAATGACACGAATAGACAGGAATGCATAGAAAAGTATACAAAAATAGTTTTATTATTCACAACGCGATGCAAGTGTTTTGTCGAGTAGTGTAGAAGTTCTGATCCGTATCTCGAAGACCTTCTACTCAAAACGGCTAGGAAGGTTGTTGGTTGTAATTGGCATCATCGACAGCAGCGTCTGTTCAGAGTTACAGTTTAGTTAATAATTTATTCAAGATTCTCCATGACTTTTCACGCAGAGAATTTTAATTTTACAGTCGTCCTTATATATAATTACTTCCAAAAGCAGGGGTTGACACACGTTGGATAAGTTGAAGAAAGTCACTTCTCTAGAAATTTGCTTCTGGTGCATGGCTTGAAACCATTTCTCCAATTCCGACTCTAGGTCAGATGGTTAGCTTATAAAAAGATTAGGGGTGAGTGTGGTACAGAAGATTATAGCAATGCGTAAAGCTCCAACAGTCCAACCTTTCGCGATAAGTCTACTACGTCCAGAAAACTTTTCTTTTCATGCCTGATGTGAGAAACATGAGTTTTCGTCTTTTTCTTTACAACTCAGGCTTCTGGAGATTGATAATGAAGAAGTCAGCTAGTTCAGACAGAAAAGCTGCTGTCGAGATGAGTTGGAGAACGCGCTAGACGAACTAGGAATAACAGGAAGATAGTGCAGCTGTAGGAGACGAGATAGTAAATCGCTGTCGCTGGCTCGCGCTGACCCTTGGCCATCACAAATGACGCTGTGCTCTAGTCCAGTATGATGCGGTGCTGTTTAATATGACTTCTGTTAAATGGTCTGCTGTGTATCTCATATAGGTAGTTCTTCCTTTTTCCACGTTGTCAGGTCATTTTCCCGTTGAGTGGTGGTGAAAGTTTTTGCTTTTGCAGAAATGAGTTTCGCAGAAAGGGGTTCACGCTCGCAACTAGTCCGAAAATTTGTTATCAAGAAATCCGTTGTGGCAGCAGTCAATATTAAAGGAGGTAGGTTGATTCAGATCTGCTTTCGAAGAAGTGCAAATACCTCACAACGGTGCGTCCTTATTTATATGAAGCATATATGTACACAGCTAATGCAGTGTTTTCTAAAATTATAGTAAGTAATATCCTCTCCCATCTGTAATCCAAATTGACAGGACATAATTGCACTGTTCCCTTGTTATTCGCGGCCTATAGGACCCTAGGTCTTGGCTTTCTAATTTATAGCTCCTGCGTCACTGTTATACAAAATAGAACATGTTCGAGCACGAACTGATATTGCTTGATCCATAGGCATAAAATTTTTATGTAAACGGCATCATTTGAAATAGTATGAGAAAATTTCTTCTTTTGAAAGAGCATGGGCTCTTATATTCTATTCTCTTCTACTCTGCGATGAGATTTGCTTACGCTGAATGATTCGCTTTCCAACAGTTGACAAATGACAGCGATGAGATATCTTATTTTTCATCACCGTTTGCTGCTTGTCGTTTTGAGACGTTGCCCGTTACAGGTGAAGAGAATACCGGTATATTCGTGTACTCCCTGATCTGAGAATGAAGTTTGTGAAAGTGCTAAATAGGCTTTTTGAGCATGGCGGTATCATATAGACTCTGAAGCAGTGGGTACAACCAACGAATGGTAATGCAAAACTCTTATAACTGATTATTTGTAGCTGGCTGTGGTATGAACCTGTAGCTACCTATGTTATGATGGAAATTACTGACTTTTCATAATTATCATTGTTTACGTTATTGTGGTAATTAGCATAGCCGTTTTTAAAAATTCGTTTCTTTGCTGTCATTTTTGACCTTTCTCGAAATCGTTCAGCTCTGACGGCACTTTTGTTTAGACGAGGTAAAGTAGAATCGATCCTCGGCACTATCACCCATAAAAAGGCAACCAGTTCGACAACCATCGCAGCGACTGCTGGTAACGACAACGAGAAGCCGAGCACGGAAACGATCAGCGCGACGCAGGACAATCTTCTATGACGACGTGTTGCCTGTCTCTAACTTTGTTATTTAAGCCGACTGTTCCCCCATCTATATGTATATTCCGTGTCTGTTGCCGTCGCGCGCGCGCCGTACTCATCGATCGATTGATATGCAGGTTGCATTCTGTTTGTTGCATACGTTTGACGCGAATGTCGCGCCCGGCATTGGGTGGTGCGGCGATTTTTAGTCCGTCCATTTTCTGCTCAGTGTCGACGTCGTCGTCGATTCTTAGCAGACCTGTGCTCCGTGCATGCCGTCCATCGAACGCTAGTAGCTGACCTATCGACGGCCGCCGTCATGGCCTTCGTCTTACTTCGGACTGCTTGTTGTTCCGAAACGTCGACATGTCGTTTTTCTGACTATTTGACTGATCAGTTTTACCTACCATAGTCTGTATTGTATTGAAAGATATGCGTTTGAAAGATAATCACTTCAAAGTTTACACTCGATTGTCATTTGTTTGTTTTGATTTAAGTGTTGAATTCTGAACAAGGCTTTCTTGACTTAGCCCATCTTCTGATCCACATTTCAAATGAGCAAAAGGTGAAGGTGCCTTGGCGAGAAACCTGATATCAACAGTTATTTGCGTATGTAAACCAGGAGAGATGCTCCAGCTTTAACGTTCTTATGATAGAATTTTTTACTTAGATTTAAACTAGATCTGGTTTTTACTGATAGTAATGCTATCTTAGAGTGTAATTAGTGCAAGTCAAAACGTAAAGTGTATGGTAATGTCGCATTGACTCCAAGCTTCTATAGACCCATAGGACCAATCTAAGCGGGCTAGAGCTCAATGGAACACTTGAAGCCTGTGGGTACACAGTATTATCACGATGTTGGCATGAACGAAAACTGCCATCCACGAACATGTCAATACGATAAATTACTAAATTTCACGACAGTGCTTTGAATTAAAACTAACTAGTTGCTTCCAAGCATATAAAATACAGTATAAAACAACTCACACGACAGTACGGTAAGCAAGACAGAAGAAACCGTAGAGAAAGTAACTTCATTAAAACGGTAGTGATAATTTAATATTAATGATTTCCTTAGGTCACTATTCTGCATGAATCATATTGCATGAAATTCAGCACGTGTTGCACAGATGCTGCTTGCCACGTCAGTAGTGCGTAATTAGAGGATTTCAGTGTTTATTCAATTTATACATACGAAAATACTTGCAATATGTAACAACGTTATCTAGGCTTCAAGGTGGTATTATTCAGTAGCTTTGTTCGCAATCTAGGGTAACGGGAAAGACAGCAAATGATCGATGAATGATGCATGTCTACTTCCAACGCAGATTTCTCTTAGCGCTTTCTGAATTCACTTGATATCCTAGAATTAAAGATCTCTGGTTTAATGTCTGTGAACTGTACATCAATCGCAGAGGGATTATCTCTCTGACATTCAGAAGAAATTTTCGATGATACACGAAGAATTCTGGGTCTAG